TCCGTTTGTTTTTGTAATGCCAAAGGATAATAGCTTTGCTGACAATATCAGATTAACTAACAGCTATATAAAATAATTAATATTAATGTCAGCTGCTCAGTCTTTTTTATATCCATGTTACTCTCAGTAATAAGTCGCCCCCCAAAAAAGTTAACGTCAATTTTCTCTTAATGGCATCAAAACTTAATAAGAAGATTCCGACAATAATGTGATCAATGATCAAACAAGGAAACACTTTGATCTTCTATCAAATTCCCCCAACTAATTCTTTAAGGAATGTTTAGAGATCAGTGTGGAGAAATTGGGTATGGATTTTGGGCCTAGGGTACACTGATATAATACTGAGACGGAAAATTTTTTTGATGTAGAGTTAGTGATGAACACTGTAGTTAACTTTTGCTCGGCAGACAAGGTTTTCTTGTGAGGTGTAAAGAATGAGGCGTCTGAACAGAATATGAAATATCACTAATTTATATGTATATCTTAACAGCATCTGGAGCTGTCAGCGTGAAATCCTTCGCAGGACTGGTTTTTTCTTTCTTTGTGATTGCGTAAGTAGTTTAACTCTTTTAAGTCCCCATAGTGACCAACATCAATTTTCTCCTAACAATATCCATAGATAAGTGAAGAGCAAAGTCTATGTATGAGAACAAATAAAGTGATCACAAAGAGAAAAATCTTAAGTCCTTTTATCAAATTCTCTCAAGTAATTCAGAAAGGAAATGTATGGAGATCAGTATGGAGGATTTTTATGTGGATACTGGGGCTTAAAGGGTTAAGTAAAAAAAATTACTTGTAAACAACAATACCACAGTCCCCTTTAATAGAAATCAAATGTCTCCCAAACTTAATTGTTACTTAAAAAACCAACAAATGAACAAAAAACTCTGATAATCAGTCAGGTGAACATATCAGTTTTTAAAAACCACAGTTGCAATCTGTTTTCATCTGGAAGTGTGTCCACCCATGCTTTTTTGTGTTTGCTGTATGGTTATATCTTCTTTTAATGTTTTGGGCAGTTATTTTTTGTTTAAGTAAATTTGGTGATACTAGTTGTTCCCGATGTTTTAATTTTGATGAATTTTACCCTTTGCTAACAGACACCTTGACGCTGTAAAGCAAAAACAAATTGCCCATTTTCAAGTTGCCCCAAGCCTGTTTCAAAGCAAGGCTATGTGCCAACAAAGGTTTTGCACTTAGCCTCGTTTTGAAAGTGAGAGGTTTTGGAACTCGGAGACCGTCATTCTCATCACCATTTCCCTACAGCTCAAAGTGTTCTCAGTTCAATTAATTTTTTTTTCTAAATGCTTAAATAAGTAACTAACCATCCGATCTCAAGAAGGATTTGTTTTGAGTTTTGTGGTGCATTAGAATTTTACATATTTTTTTTGTGTTGCAGCTTGTTGTAAACAAGATCAGCAAGTGAGGAACGTTGAGGCTGTGCTGTTGATAGATTTTTTTTCCATTTGATTTAACAGTTGACTGAACTACAATCTTAACTTTTAGTCTGAAAATGGTCATGGCCATGATAATTATATGCTATTGCGATTAACTGTATTTTATAGAAACGTTTTTTTGATGTATACAAACCTTTGAACTGTCTGTTATGTAAGCAGTAATATTATTGAAATTCCATCGTACTAGATTTGAGGAATTAGTCATTTTTATAGAAAACCGGCATAGTGGTAGAAAAATAAAGCTGTCCTAAATATATTTACATTTGTATTTTTTTTTCACTTCATTACTGTTTGCAAATACATATAAGATCAGTATTCAAGAACCCAATGTCTTCGTGGGAAGCTACAAAGGAAATTAGCTTCTGGTTGCTTTTCACATGGTTTCATGAACATTATATCAGTACGTGTGCAAAGAAAGTAGTGTCTGATAGCCTGGGGCTAGTGGATTTTGCTATGCCAGGGAATTTTGT